TTTAAAAAAACCTGCTTAAAACTCATTAATTAGGCTGCCCAATTATTTCATAGTATGTCTCTGTTTCAGAAGGGTTTGAAGAATTCATTGAGACCTAGTAGAAGATGGAGTAATTTGAACTCAGTGGCAAGAAAGGCCACTTGTGTCTCCTACAGGGAACTTTCTACTTAAAATAACGAGCCTGGAATTTCCTATGGCTGTTTTTGTTCCTAGAATGTAGAAAATCAAACTGCTCCGTAGAGCTACGGCTACATTTAGCATCTGTGAGTCCTCCTCAGGGCACAGTGCTGGACTGGCTGATGCTGCAATATAGAAGCCAGTATCGCATTGTGAACATTTATTTAAAGGATTTAAAGTATCGGCGAAATTCCTTTGTTGGTTATGTTAGTTATCAGTGGATGGAATGGAAAAATTAACAATGCAGAAAATATAAAGAAAAAAGAGACCAGTTGTGGAAAAAATAGGGTAGGAAAGCATTTCTGGATAGAACTACCATTACTCATTGACTGATGGACAAAGCAAAAGGGCAAGTCTGGCATTTGAACTTTCACAATGAATTCTTAACTATGGTTTACATGAGCTCTCTATACATCCTTGAGGGGAAGGCAGGCCATTGAAGAAGGGAGAGGTCAGTAGGTTGCTCGCTTCACCATTTACTTCAGATCCAGCCCTGTGCATCATATTAAATTTGAAGGGAAAACGTCCTCTTGCAAATAAAAAACCCTCACAGGTGCAAATTTTAGATTGCTTGTTTCTACTAGAAGATACTGTGGAATGAATGGGATGTGTAGATTTTCTACTAATTAATAAAGTGAGTCAGCTGATTAGCAATTAGAAGCTGCTGCAGGACGGTAGACTGGTACACAGAAGCCAGCATATACGCAGACAATGGGAGAAAACTCCAATGACAGTTCTGCCAAGTAGCCAGCAGAGGAAGACCAGCAGAGGTCCCCAGCACTTTTTTTGATATTTTGAAATGTCAGGCAAGAGCAGTGTTCATTAGCAATAAAATACACAGAAGAAAATACAAACCTTGGTCTCAGAGAGGTTTTTATGAACTTGTCCCTAAAGGCAAGGAAAGTAAAAGCAAAAATAAATGGGACTATATCAACCTAAAAAGCTTCTGCACAGCAAAAGAAACCATCAACAAAACAAAAAGGTAACCAACTGAATGGGAGAAGGTACTTGCAAACAATACCTCTAACAAAGGGCTAATATCCAAGATATATAAAGAACTCATTCAACTCAACAACAACAAAAATACAATCCAATTACAAAATGGGCAGAGATCCTGAACAGAGACTTTCCCCATGAAGACATGCAGATGGCCAGCAGATATATTTAAAAATGCTCAACTTCACTAGCTATAAAGGAAATGCAAATCAAAACCACAATGAGATATTACTTCACACTTGTTAGAGTGCCTACTATCAATAAGACAAGAAATAAGGGCAGGAGAGGTTGTGGAGAAAAAGGAATCTTTATACACTGCTGGTGGCAATGTAGATTGGTACTGCCACTGTGGAAAACAATATGGAGATTCCTCAAAAATTTTAAGAATAAAGTTACCTTATGACTCAGCAATCCTCTTCTGAATATCTACCCCCCAAAACTGAAAACATTTATTTGTAAAGATATGTACCCCTATGTTCACTGCAGCATTATTCATGGTAGTCAAGACATGGAAACAACCTAAGTACCCTTCGATGGGTGATTGATGTGAAGATGTGGTACATATATAAAATGGAGTACTACTCAGCCATAAGAAAGGATGAAATACTGCCACTTGGGACAACATGGATGGACCTTGAACTCTCAAGTATCATGTTAAGTGAAATAAGTCAGATTGAAAAGAATAAGAACAATATGATTTCACTCATATGTAGGATATAAAACAGAAAGCAACAAACAAACTCATAGACACAGACAACAGTATGGTGGGTTACCAGAGGAGAATAAGGTGGGTGAGAGAAAGATGAAGACAGTATAGGGGGTCAAATATAAGGTGACAGGAGACTAGACTTTGGGTGGTAAGCACACATGCAATGTATAGATGTATTATAGAATTGTACACTTAAACTTATATAGTGTTATTGACCAATGTTACCCTGATAAATTTAATTTTATAAAGCAGTGTTCATAGAAGAGTTATAGGATAAATGAATCCCTGAGGAACTGTTCTGGAAATGAATACAAAATTTTACTCTTATCAGAAAAAATATATAGGCCTAGTTGTGATGAGGATAGGTAGTTTGATGAATTTGATTTAAATGATGTATTTGCTTGATGAATTGAACTTAAATGTTGGCAAAGGTTAAAGCTTTAAGTTAAATGCCAGTCCGAGGAGTACAGAATTAAAGGAAGGCTGAGATTTATATATTATAATCAAATTTTTTTTTTTTTTTTTTTAAAGAAAAATGGGAAGCCAGCAGCAGAAAGCAACTAATGTTAACCCAGGAAAGCACAGTGATGTTGGATCTTTTTTTGCAATCTGTACTTTGGTGAAGAAAAAGAGTAATTAGATAAGAAAAATGCTCGTGAGGAACAAATCTCCTGAGAGCTCAATGGAATTACAGATTTCTTACTTTAAATCAAATCCATATTGTAATTTTGTGAATGAAAAGAGGCAGCTGGTATTATCCCTATTTTGTTGGTTAAGAAATAAGCTTCCCTCCCTTCCTTCCCTCCCTCCCTCCCTCCCTCCCTCCCTTCCTCCCTTCCTCCCTTCCTTCCTTCCTTCCTTCCTCCCTTCCTTTCTTCCTTTCTTTTTTGTTAATCCTCACCCAAGGATATTTTTCCATTGATTTTTAGATAGAGTGGAAGGGAGGGAGGGAGGGAGGAAGAGAGAAACATCAACGTGAGAGAGACACACCGATTGGTTGCCTCCCACACAAGCCCAAACGGGGCCAGGATCGAACCTGCAACCCAGGTACATGTCCTTGACTGGGAATCAAACCCGAGACCCTCTGGTCCTGGGTCCAGTGCTCTAACTGCAGAGCCAAACTGGCCAGGGCTAGCTTCCATTTTTTTTAAAGCAAAACTAGGCAAAGCTGAGGTGGCAGAACCTTTTTCTTCTTTCTCTTTTAAAATTCTTTCAAAGGGATGCAATCAGCTGGACTCTGTTATCACTACAGCCCTGCTCATTACACTTGTTTTCCCACACGTCTGACGACTCTAATTTACCAGAGGGAAAATACATTAAAAGCGCGCTTGGATTTTTATAAGCTGCAAGAAGAGAATATTAGGGATGTTAACTAGCTAATCAAGCTCCTGCTTCAAATGTCAGTATGATGTTTATAACAAATCTTTTCTTGTTCATTTAGCAAATTGGTTGAGTTAGGGAACTGCCTGACCTTAAGAGTCCAATCTGAGAAACAATCTTTGTACCTACACTGGTTGGACGAATCCAGTCAGTAGCCAAGGAGACAATGAGTCAGGGCTGGAGGATGGGGGACTTCACAAGTCCTCGATAAAGAAAAATCTATTGTACTGAAAAGTAGCTTGTGAGCCTTTAAATCTCAGAGGACTGTGGACAGGTTAGATGAACTCTTTGAGTCGTTGCCAGAAAAACACACACTGGAAACTAGTACTGTCAGAATGTACATGACTTAGAGACAACCCCAAACCAAGTTTGGAAATAATTTTCTGAGTTTATTTATCCTTAAAAAAGAACAAAAAGTGTTAAGTGACAAAGTAGAGAAAAACACCTTGCAACTCTGATGAAAACATTATGAATTTAAATATGTGAAAAGCTTAGGAAACATGAAGGACTTCAATTACACATTAGTCTTTGGATTTCCAGGAATTCCAATAAAATGTTCAAATTTTAGATGTTTAAAGAAATGCTTACATAAGGTACAAGTGCTACCCAGATAATATGAAACTTTGATCTTTTACCTTTACCGGCTATGATACAGAAGAGCACCAATAATACTAAACTTTCTGTTTTTCAAATGTTGTAAGAAAATAACTTCCAAGGCCCTTATACAGAATATATTCCATGACTTAAGTATTTAAATAGTAGTTAAATTTGAACCAAGTGCCCTGGCCGGTTTGGCTCAGCGGTTAGAGCATCGGCCTGCGGTCCGGAGAGACCCGGGTTCGGTTCCCGCTAAGGGCACGTACTTCGGTTGCAGTTTGTCCCCGGCCATGGTTGGTCGTGCGGTGGCAGCCACTCGATGTGTCCCTTCACGTCGATGTTTCTCTCTCTCTCTCTCTTCCTCTCTCTCCCTCCTGCTCTATCTACAAAAAATGGAAAAATGTCCTCGGGTGAGGATAAAAATAAAAATAAATTTGAACCAAGTATTTTTTTAAAGTCTACTTTGCAAAGAATAATCAAGAACTTACCAGTTCATCAAATTCTCATGCCAGCCTTCCCTCCTGCATTTACCTTACTCAGCTTTACCTGCTGTTGGGGCAGAGGGCTACTCGCCAGGTCAGAAAATGTTGTGCCTTCAACAATTAGGTTTTACCAATCAAATTTAATGGTTGAAATGTTATGACCAGATGTTTAGAAGTAGAACATTATTTTGCCACCAAAAAGTTTTCTACCCTTGTGCACTCTGGACTCATACTTACATGAGTGAATGAGATTGTGGCACAGAATGTGTTGTTTTTAAAAATGACATCTAAATCTATGATGGCAAAGCCTTAAAGTGTTGCAAATTATTATAATTGGCTCCAGTATAATTTTGTTCCCTTCACGAATAGGGACAGTCACACTCTGCTGAGCAACTCAGAAATCATTACCTTCTCATCGGAGAAAGGTAAGCCTGGAAATAGAAACCTGATTTCTGTTACTATTTCCCTTGTTTGACTTTCAGGAGAAAATGCTGGAGAAGAACTCTGAAGTGATTCAGTTCTCACTTATCCACGTAGTGTTTTCAGGACATATTTTCAATATTGCTACAAAATTTATGTTTTTAAGCAAAAATGTTAAAAAGTCAAATTTTATGTCATAATTTCACATAATTATTTCATCTTGTTTTGTGTATTTGCAGGCAACTCAAATAGGAAAATCAAAGCCCTCAATTCAAACGCAGCATCAAATTCAACAAATGAAACAATCTATGAAGCTGATGATATAATTCAAGAAAAAACAGTGGATACAACACAAATCAACATTGTGTCTCATTAAAAATCCTGTGTTGTGAAAGCTCACTGGAGATGGAACAATAAAAATAAAGAGTACGTTTCATGTATAGTTCATAATAATACTTTCAAAAGCTTGTCACTCACAAAGCAAAACATAGCTACCTTTTAATCACTCAGTCTTTATTAAACACCCACTAAGGTTTTGATAGATTTTCATGTAAGTTTAGTTTCACTTGCTAATTAAAATGGATGTCATACAAAATTATGCTAATACTCCAGGCAAAAGTAAAGAATTTACCAATAACACAGACAAGCACACCTTTCTCAGTGAGGAACAAGGAGAAATGGGTGTCATGTTACCAGCATTTCACAATGTTTTGGTACTTAGAGGCAGTTATTTTTATGAGATGGTATGGACAGGTAGGTTTCTGGGAGAATGGTCTTATAAACTAGAGGTGGAGTGTTCTTAAGTCTCTTAAAAATCAACCCATGCCGTTTTTTTAGAGGATTTGCTGGGCACACTAACAATATTTTTATTGCCTTTATAAAAGCTAACATTCAACAACAAAATGTATTACAATATATAATCTGCATATTACATATTTTCTGCATACCAACGGATAACCGTAACAAAAATCCTTCCCTGATAAAGTTCCTAAGGACTTTCTACAATGAAAGTTATAAAACAATCAATTCTCTGGTCCCACCTAAGGCTACAGAAGTAATACCATTTAGATATCTAGAAATAAAACTACAGTTGCTACAAATTATAATTGTCTTACAAGATTTTTTTTCGTAAGTGTGATTTTTAGTTTTGTAACAGAATTCAATAGGAAAAAATAATTCATTTAAAGCTGGCTCCGCTGAACACCTACATCTCTGTGCCATCAAGTTTCTGTCGCTGGAAGACCAGCCTTTTCAGGCATGGTGACTTCTCTGTTCTGATGGGGGAAAAGGAATGCCTTACTGCCCTCAGGCATACAAAGCTCAGGGATAGGAACTTATGATCGTCAGCTGGTCAAAATTTCTACCAAGAAATGGGGATATCGTCTAAATGAGCACTGTCCAGTGGAAGTTTCTGAGAAGGTGGAAATGTTCCTTCTATACGTGCACAGTGTGGCAGGGTTGCCATGACACACAGTGTAGATACTGGGCAGTTGAGATGTGGCCAGAGCAACTGAATACGTTTTTATTTTACTTTCTTAGTTAATTTAAATAGCCACATGTGGCTATACTGACATCATATAGTTCCAGAACATTATTATTGTTGTAACTTCTACTCCTGTTCCATTTTATGTTCCAAAAGAGCACAATTTGGTCAAAGTTCATTCAACTTGCTTAGAATGCATGGGAAGTTTGGAAGTTAAAACATGACCATTATAAAAATGACATTTTTATGTGGTCACAAAAGCAAAGAATTTTCATTTCTTTTTGTGAAAGCACATGTAACATCTGTGGTACTTCTTGATCTTTTATCTAGCTTGATTAAAAAAACATATTCCAGAAAATCAACTATCTAAATACACACATCTTAATTACATTATCAATTAGGTATTGCCCCAGGTGAAAATCTGGAATAAGTTTAGTTAAGGCATGGCACAGTTCTGTTTTTGCTGCTCAAGGAGGACACAGGCCATAAATGACTTAAGAAGTAGAAACTTAGACGCAGGGCCAGCAAAATGCTCGTGGTCCCAACTCCTAACCTGTGGGACGGGCATGGGCTGGGCATGGCTGGATGCCTCATGGGTATGCTCTGGGACACAGCCCAGTTCTCCGGCACTGCACCTTTTTAGAGGAGCTGGGAGAAGACAAATGAGGTCAGAAGACCCTGGGCTTTGCAGGCGGGGTTAGCGTCCTGCCAGCATAAGAAACCTATTCTCGAATGCTAACTGCTCAAGACGGAGTCCCAGCACTGGCCAGTTTGGCTCAGCGGTTAGAGCGTCGGCCTGCAGTCCGGAGAGACCCGGGTTCGGTTCCCGCTAAGGGCGCGTACCTCGGTTGCAGTTTGTCCCCGGCCCTGGTTGGTCGTGCGGGTGGCAGCCACTCGATGTGTCCCTTCACGTCGATGTTTCTCTCTCTCTCCCTTCCTCTCTCTCCCTCCCACTCTATCTGTACAAAAAATGGAAAAATGTTCTCGGGTGAGGATAAAAAAAAAAAAAAAATTTAAAGACGGAGTCCCAGCACTGGTGTCAGGCAGGCAGAGTTCTGAAGGACTCCCCGTCAGGCCCGGTTACCTGAGGGAGAGCCCCAGAGCTTATCCAGTGAACCAACAGGCTGTGTCTCTGTCATTTTGAAGAAGTTGTGCTTCACAGATTGAGACACAATAGTAAAAGCAAGAAGCCTCACTGAGGAGAGTGTGATGATGGGCGGGGGCGGGGCACAGGTGGGGGTGGGCAAAGGACGGGGAGAATGAGGACGGAGAGACGGCTTGGGGCGGTGGGCACGAGGCAGGGTGCAGACGATGTTTTGCTGAGTTGTACCCTTGAAATCTGTATGGTCTTGTGAACCAATGTCACTTCAGTAAATTTTTTTAAAAAGCAAAAAGGCTTATCAAATTACAGCACAGTTTGTACACCGAAAACTATATTTTAAATGATTTATTTGGATGTAACAAATACTAACATAGTAACAGAATTTGTCAGTCAAAATTAATCTAAAATAAAATAAAAAACAAAGCACATTTCAAAGTATGTACAAACACATGCAATTCTGGGGATAGGTCTGATAAGGGATACAGTAGCTTTATGTGGTTTGGTTTTGTTTTTAGCCTCACCCAAGGACATTTTTCCTTTTTTTTTTTTTTTGTTCAGATAGAGTGGAAGGGAGAGAGAGAGAGAGAGAAACATCGACGTGAAAGGGACACAACGTGAAAGTTGCCACCTGCACGACCCAACCAGGGCCGGGGACAAACTGCAACCGAGGTACGTGCCCTTAGCGGGAACCGAACCTGGGTCTCTCTGGACCACAGGCTGACGCTCTAACACTGGCCTGGGCACTTTATGTGTTTTTAAGAGACAAGTCACTGTATAATAATCAGATCTTAAAAAAGTGGGACTTTAAGAAGAGGACATACAAATAATAGGGCATGAAGATTCTAATTATATTTTTTGCGACCTTCTAATGAAAGCACTTTCATCTTTTAAAACCTGTGGAATTATCACGCTGCCTGGTCTGGCCCAGTGGTTAGAGCGTCAGCCAGCAGACCAGAGTCGCAGGTTCGATTCTGGCCAAGGGCACAGATCTCAGTTGCGGTTGTCCCAGCCCTAGTTGGGCCCTACAGGAGGCAACCAGTTGATGCGTCCTTCTCATGTCGATGTTTCTCTGGAACTACCATCACTGTCACCCTTACCCTCGGTCAAAACGTACTTCATGCACTACTTTCTCCAGGGAGCCTCTCCCAACTTCTCCAGACTAGGTTAAGTACCCCTTTGTGTTCCTATGAACCCATGTTCAGGTCAACTACTACACTTGTATGATGCATCCGCTGCTTCTCCTGCCAACTGGATGACTGTCCTCTGAATCTCAGTGTCCCCAGCACCTAGCAGAGCGTCGGCCGTGCTGGGCACTCGATGTTTGTTGAAGAAAGGCCACAGTGGCATTTTTACAAACACTTAATAACTCTAAGACCTAGTTTAATTGAAGGTGACACAGGGTTCTATAATTCGAGAGTAGTAAATATTGACACATACGAGTTGTTTTAGTCCTTATTTACTGAAGTTTTGGCCTCAGAGATCCAAAAACAGGCATGTATTAATACCAAGTGTGAAACACTGGGGATCCCACTGAGATTTTAGTCAACAGATGATATGGAGAAACAAGGAACTGTGTGGGGTGTGGGTCCATCACCCCAAAAGCAGTAGCCTAAAATTGTTCAAATACAGATCTAAATATAAATTCTGTCAGCATCTAGCAAAAATGGCATACACTGGACGGTAAGGATGTGAACCAAGTCTCCGTAACTTCTTACAGAAGCTGAATGTGTTTAACACTAGTATTAGTAAATTCAATCTTTATCATTACAGATTGCTACATCTGTAATAATTCCTAAAATGAGTATCACTTGAATTTTACTAAAATATCAATACTCATATATGTTAAGGACGAGAAGGTATCTTAGAGATAATTTGGTACAATATTTTACAGATGAAAAACACGGAGGCCCAGAGAAACAAAATTACTTTGCTGAAGTTTACATGGGTAGTTAGAAAGACCAGGACTTTTTGGGGTTTTTACTATTAAACTGATCTTTCCTTCTGCTACATACAACTGCCTGAGAGGAAATTTCACTAATTGTTTTCCTAAAATATATTAGTCAGATTTGCATCTAAGCCCAATAATAATAATATCACTTTAGAAGAAAATTACTTGAATAAAAATAAATGTATTTTATTCAGATTAGATATTTCATAAACTATTCTCAAATGATAGAAAATTTACTTAAGAATAATTTCATGCTTTTTTCTGGGGGAAAATAATTACCAAGCATTAAAATCTTTTAATTTGTACACTATATAGTTAAGGAGGGCTGAATTTTATGTAACTCCTCTGATCCATTATTAAATGTCACCATTCAGAAACAAATTTAATGAACCAAATTATAATCCCTACAATTAATAGAAATAAAACAGATAACTAATTCTATTAACTAAAATGATCATATTTAATCATGCTACAATCCTTTTGCATACAGCATTTTCCAATCATTTTTTAAAGTTTTTTTAACTTTTTTTTTATTTTGATAGCCAAAGAACTATATTTTAGAAAATGTAAATTTCAAAAGTACATAAAATACAGAACAGGCAAAATACACCCTTAAAAACCTAATAGCTCTGTTTGTCTCTAAACAAATGACTGAACTTAATTTACACAAGACAATTTCTTTTTGTGGCCGTGTCTAAATGAGGTTATGAAAAAGTGGAAGTGGCCCTGGCCGGTTTGGCTCAGCGGTTAGAGCATCGGCCTACGGTCCCGAGAGACCCGGGTTCAGTTCCCGCTAAGGGCATGTACCTTGGTTGCAGTTTGTCCCTGGCCCTGGTCAGTCGT